TAGTTTTAATATATTTAATTAGTTAATATGCTTAGGCCCTATTTGATGATTAAGTACTTGTTAAACAAGTATTTCTTAGAAAATACATATTTTAACAATCACTTAAAGTTGTCTGGTAACCCACTTTCCAAATCATTTATTATGTTTTTAATTACTTATTGGAGTGTAGATATTTGGTAAGCTACTTTCCCCATAAGTGCTTATATTGATTTAAATGACAATTTTAACCCTCACTTCACTCATACATATATACAATGCTTTTCACATGATATATTATACATTTTAACCGTGAGAGTCCATGTGGACCCATAGGTGAATTGCTATGTGGACCCAATAATAATAAAAAAAATAATAATAATAATAATAAATAATACTAAATATTAAATAATAATTATAAATTATCCTAATAAATAATAATAATAATAATGATAATAATAAAAATAATAAATAATAATTATAAATAAATCCTAATAAAAAATAGGGAAAAATACGGAAACACACGATGCAGAATTCTGAATTCCAGCCCCCCCTACAACTAGCCCTCTCCCCCCTATATACCACATCCTGTCCGTGAATTTAGCATCAATTCATGGTCAGGATGCATTCCCCCTCTCCATCTCATAATTCTCCAGTTCTCATCGTACCTATTCACCTGAAATTTTGTAAATCAGATCGTAATCCAAAAAGAGATGAATTGAAGGAATAGATTATGAATTCGCATCATCTCCAATACGGAGAGATCAAAACTTATTTATTATACCTTTGTTCTTGGTGCCATGGCAACGTTTTTTAGGGTTTTTCTGGATGAATACAGACGAGAAATTCTAGGTCTCAAAGCTAGCAGACTATTCTCGAATTTCTGCAAATATGCAGCTGGAGTAGCTGCTGTTAATCCCGCCATCGAAGGAGAAAAAACGCAGCACAACAGCGACAGAGATTTTATATTTTTTTCCGCTCAATCTACTCGGTTATTTGTCTCAAGGTAAGAGACGACTAACAGTAGCTTCAATCTGAAACCCAGATCTCCCAACCTGCAACGATGGGCTTAAAAAATAGGGAAAATGACACTTAAACAATGCAGCTGGAGCAGCTGCTGTTATTCCCTCCATCGAAGGAGAAAAAACGCAGGATAACAGCGACAGAGATTTTCTATTTTTCTCCGCTCAATCTACTCTGTTATTTGTCTCAAGGTAAGAGACGATCAACATTTGCTTCAATCTGAAACCCAGATCTCCTAACCTGCAACGATGGGCTTAAAAAATAGGGAAAATGGCGCTTAAACAATGCAGCTGGAGCAGCTGCTGTTAATCCCGCCATTGAAGGAGAAAAAATGCAGCACAACAGCGACAGAGATTTTCTAATTTTCTCCGCTCAATCTACTCTGTTATTTGTCTCAATAAGTGACGATCAACAGTAGCATCAATATGAAACCCAGATCTCCCAACCTACAACGATGGGCTTAAAAAATATGGAAAATGGCGCTTAAACAACGTAAAAAAAATACCCATTAGAAGTATACTAAATATTTAAAAAAGCCAATTTGAAGTCACTTTTTTAAAGAAGTACTTATTTAAAGAAAATACTTTTTTCCCACTTTTTTACCAAACACACAAAATCACTTAATAACCACTTAATGTGTGGTCCCAGCTCTTAAAAGAAATACTTGTTAAAAAAAGTATTTATAAGTAGATCTGTTCATGGGCCGGGCCGGGCTTTTACTCTTCATAAACATGATTTTGTTAGGCCCGAGCCCGAGCCCAGCCCGACCAACGGGCCTATAACATGGGCCTGAGCCCAACCCTAATAAAAAGCCCGACCTAACAGAAGAAAGAACTCACCGCCGATGACTGTGTTCGCCGGTGCTGTGTTATGAGCACCCGCACCACACGGCAGCAGTTGAGGTAGCAGCGCGCACACAATAGGCACCGCACGGCAGCGGCACCACACACAGCACCGCGCGGCGACAGCACCATGAGCCGCGCGCACGCGCATTGGCAGCAACAGTAGAGCGAGGCCCACACGACAGCTCATAGGGTGGGCCCACCCTTATCCAGACACGTCAAGAGAACGCGCCTTATCCCTTATCCCTTATCCCTTATCCCATTCTCCCTTATCTTATCCCTTATTCTTAGAAGGAATTGTAGTACCATTAAAAGTAAATAGTCTAATTAGAAGTAGGAGTTTTGAGTCCGTTTAGGACTAGCCTAGCAGAATCCAACAAGGAACCCTCCTCTTGTAATCTCCTATTTAAGGAGACGCTATTATTGAATGAAGATATCGAATATTCAGTGAAGAAAGAGAGTAAAGGAGAGTTCGGTGATCTCTTGGACAAATCACCCCTGAGATAGTCAAAATAGGGCCTGTACGCAAGGCCAAGGGCAAGGAAAGATCTGAGGTTCCTGTGGTGGAGCGACTCGTGATGCGATCCTACACTCGGGCCCATAACATGCTGAGTTCGCGTTTGTGTGTGTGTGTGTGAGAGAGAGAGAGAGAGAATTCACCAACTGGTGCTTAGTTCGCGGTGAGATGCGATTTTGACAGTGAAAAGAGGAGTCAGTTCATGTCTGAGAGAGAGAGAGAGAGAGAGAGGACTCACTACCGCCGCCACCGGTGCCTGTGTTCATCGCGTCGTCGATGTCTAAAATTTGAAAGAGAAGAAGTGAGAAGAGGAACAAGAGAGAGAAAGAGAGAGAGAGAGAGAGAGAGAGAGAGAGAGAGAGAGAAGACTCACTGCTGGTCTACCGGAGTTGATGCGTCGGTGAATGTTCGCCGGTTCTATAGCTGCTTGAGAGTGTGAGGAGGATGTGACGAGAAGAGAGGTTTGACATTGGGCAAGTGGGCAGTTCGACTAATAGGAAATGTGGAAAGAGATGAATGAGAAGGGTTAGGATATTAGGGTTTTTGGGTTTAGTCTATAGGTCGGGCTAGGCTATTTTGGCAAATTCCGATACCGGCTCGAATTTATTGCGAGCCGGGCTTTTTAATCCAAGATCAAGCCCATGGGCTCATTTGTGTGTTCAAAGCCCATCTAGGGGCCAGGCCAGCCCGCTGAGCCACCCGGCCCATGAACAGGTCTACTTATAAGTGTTCTCAAGTAGAGGCTTAGCTTAATTTTATTAACAAATCCTGCTTGTGGTTTTTACAAAGCCCAACTAGGTTATATATGGGTTCAAATATGATATTGGAAAAACGTAATCAATGAACCGTTGTGATAAAAATAAGAGCCAATCAAGTGGTATTTATCAAAATTCATTGGGGGTGTTAATTGGAGCACTATTTATGGAGACTCCTATAAATACGTTGTGCCACTTGGAGTTCTATTTATAGAGACTCTTGGTAGGACATTGGGTTGTTTTACCCTTATTTTCCTTGTAAAGAATTAGGATATCTCCAACCTGAGGTGATATATTAATCCTTATTGTTGAGACTTTTTCTAAACTGGACCACATTAAATAATTATTTTAAAAGATGATGATAGTAATTGAAAAATGGTGCTTATATATTAGTCTATGAGTTAGTTTTCCATTGAGAGTGAGGTTATTCTTCATGAGATGTTATTTCTATATCAGTGGGGGCAATTGCCATGGGCTTGGTCGGGTTGGGTTGGTTTATTGGGGTTTTTCCAACCGATCCGACCTGGTCGGGTTACTTGAGGTGGAAACTGAAACCGACTCACTGATAGGCCAAACCGATTTGGTCGATTTGAGTCAGGTTGGGTCGGTTTTGGTTTTGCTCCTGTACAAAAGGACACCTAATTGAATTCTAATTGTAATTGCCTAATAGGTTGCCTATTTGGTGTAAAAGACTATAGAAAGTTAAAAACTATGATAGGTTGCCTATTCTAATTGTAATTGCCTAATGGGCCTTCTAGTTCTAGTAGAAGACTAGTTATAATTAAGTAGGAAACTACTCAAACTAGGAACTACCGAACTAGTAGAAGACTAGTTCGGTTCATGTCGGGTTGGTTTCGGTTTTTACACAAAAAAACCGAAATTGACCCGATATATCGATTTATATATTTGCCCAATCTAAAACTGACCGGTACTGATGAAAATCCGGCCGACTCGAGTTAAGTCAGTTCAAGTTAGTCGATTTGGTCAGACTGGGCATTCTTATGAACAGCCCTAATGTGGAGATCACTACAAGGATTTAAGTGGTAGGCATTACATGTTATACACATAAGGGATTTAAGAGGGTGGAGAAAAGGCAGGGTGCATGTGACATCCACTTTGCCTTGGTGGATATATGCTGTATGAAGTAGTGGTTCTAGTTATTTGTAAACTTGGCACTTCATTATTAGTAAGAGAAGTGATTGTAGTTACAAAAAAAAAGAAAGTTCATTTGAATCAAGCAAATATGCTTTATTTGCTTTAATAATAGTTATTGGGTCATTGGTGGATGTATGCTTTAAGAAATAGTTATTGGGTCATATGAGATAAGTATTTGTACTGAAGAATAGCCAATCCATGCTACGATTCAATAATTTTAATAATTAGGACCCCTAAATTTACCCTAGATGGAGACCAAGGTGACCACTTAAATTTTATTAATTAACCATTATCATAACGTAGAAAGATAGAAATAAATATGAGAGCACATAGCCCGCCTTGCCTCAACCATCTCATCTCAGCCCCAAAAATCATAAAAAGAAAAACAATACATCATAAACAAACTAAAACAAATGAGAACAAGAGGAAGTTATACACGTACTTTAGACAGGACCATGGACAGAGCTTGAGGATACCTTTTGCCCATTTTCCACATATATCAAGCAAATATGCTTGTCAATTTTATTTTATAAAATATTTCGTCAACACAATACAAAAGCCTAAAAATAGGCAAAGACATCAGAAATCAACGCGGATGTTGTGGCATCCATAGTTATTACATGTAAGAAGAGAAAAACTAGCCAAAAGTCTAAAGATGAAGAGAGATAGAGATTACAGACTAATATGAGATATGGTAGCTAGTTAATTAGCAAGGAAGCTCAACAAGAGAGATTAGATCTTTATTTCACGTCCAACACTATAGCCTGACCCATAGCCAGAGCCCGAGCCTGAACCGCTACCATAACCACTTCCACTTCCAGATCCACGTCCATATCCTCCACCTCCACCACCTCCATTTCCATAACCACCACCTACAGCAACTCCAGATCCATACCCAAAGCCATTTCCTCTTCCACTTCCGGAGCCGTAACCAGAACCACTACCTGACCCGGATCCATATCCAGAGCCACCTCCACCTCCTCCACCCCTACCACTTCCACTGGCAGCTCTCCCGGCACCATACCCACTCCCACTCCCACTCCCAGAACCATAACCCGAACCGTACCCGGAGCCACTACCTAACCCAGATCCATATCCAGACCCACCTCCACCTCCTCCACCCCTACCACTTCCATACCCACTTCCACTTGCAACTCTCCCAGTAGCATATCCATTCCCACTCCCAGAACCATAACCAGAGCCATAGCCAGAGCCACTACCTGACCCGGATGCATATCCAGAACCACCTCCACCTCCTCCACCCCTACCACTTCCATAGCCACTTCCACTTGCAAATCTCCCGACACCGTATCCATTCCCGCTCCCAGAGCCATAGCCAGAGCCGCTACCTGACCCAGATCCATATCCAGAGCCACCTCCACCTCCTCCACCCCCACCACTTCCATAGCCACTTCCACTTGCAAATCTCCCGACACCATATCCATTCCCGCTTCCAGAACCATAACCAGATCCATAACCGGAACCGCTACCTAACCCAGATCCACCTCCACCTCCACCACCCCCACCGCTTCCATAGCCACTTCCACTTGCAACTCTTCCGACACCATATCCACTCCCACTCCCAGAACCATAACCACTACCACTTCCAGATCCATGCCCAGAGCCTCCACCTCCACCACCTCCGCCACCTCCGCCTCCACTTCCATAACCACTACCTGTAGCTACTCCTGTTCCATACCCAGAACCACTTCCACTCCCATAACCAGAACCACTACCCGATCCAGATCCATATCCAGACCCACCACCACTTCCACTTCCNGAGATCTCACTTCACGCAATCACAGGGATCAGAACCTCCCAGACGATGCAACTAAGGGCACTAGTGACGGGGAAACCCGTGCGCATTCTGGTAGACTTCGGAAGCACCCACAATTTCATCAGCAATCAGGCGGCCCGCAAGTTAGAGTTGCCCATGGAAGTCAGGCCACAACTACTGGTAGCCATGGCGAATGGGGAAAGAGTCCACAACCCCGGTATCTGCAAGAACACCAGAATTCAGGTTGAAAAAGAATCCTTCCGAACAGATTTATTTGTACTGTCCTTGGACGAATTTGACATCGTCCTACGCGTCAAATGGCTGATCACTTTAGGCCCAATCCTTTGGGACTTCGCTGCCCTAACCATGACCTTCCACTTAGATGGCAAACCGGTTACTTGGTAGGGAACCCAGACAAGGACCAAGACACAACTGCATGCACTCCAGGGGGAGAATTCGCGCACAATGGATGTGGAGAGACTTCTCACCGATTAGATGGCGTGGTGATGGTGTGCTGATGGTGATGATGGTGGCTGATCCATCACAGCCTGGCACAGGCGCGACCTGGCGGCCTGGCCCTAGCGCGAGCTGGCAGCCTGGCACAGGCGCGACCTGGCCCTGGCACAAGCTGACAGCCTAGCACAGGCACGAGCTGGTAGCCTGGCACAGGCGCGAGCTAGCAGCTTGGCACAGGCGCTACCTGGCCCTAGCGCGAGCTGGCAACCTGGCATAGGTGCCTACCTGGCGACTTGCGAGACGTGCTCACCGACAAATTCGGCATGCATATCCTAACTCTCCCACGATCCTTCGAAGTTGGTCCACGTGCCGAATGATTCAGAGGGTGGTCAACATGCATGGCGGTTACCTCTAGGAATCTTGAACCACTTAGACGACCTCGCAGAAATCTCGGATGTGATGCGTGAAGCCCATGCCAAACAATGCCTATATAAAGGCACCAACCCCAATGGCAAAAGGCAAGCGAGCAAGTAAGCAAGTAGGCATATCCTAGCTCTCATACTTTATGATTCTTTAGCTCGCGGTCTACTATGAGTACCGAGTTAAGCATCAGAGCGACCTTGTCGGGTTAGCCACCCCGGGTCCTCTGACATTTGGTTCCTTGTGGGTCTCTAAAGAGCAAGGAAGCTCGTCAATCTAGCTCGTCACCAGGCAGCTCGACACCATGCAGCTCGCCACTAGGTAGCTCGCCACTAGGTAGCTTGACACTAGGCAGCTCGCCACCAGGCAGCTCGGCACTAGGCAACTCACCACCAGATAGCTCACCAGCAAGCAGCTCATCCAGGTAGTTCGCCACCAGGCAGTTCACCAGGGAGCTCACCACCAGGCAGTTCGCCACTAGGTAGCTCACCACCAGACAACTCGCCACTAGGGAGCTCCACTTCAGCCTCTGAGTCATAGGCCACTTGGGAGCATACGTCACTGATGAGGTACTTAGCCAAAAAGTTTGATACATCACTGAAAAATCGATACTCCACCAAAAATCGATTCATCAATTATTAAAATGATGAAGAAATTTAATTTGTTTTTTCAATTGCTCCTACTCAAATAAAATAATAGGGGGTCAAATAAAATTTGGCTTCTTAAATATATAGTCATTTTTTAGAGGTGAATAGGTGGTAAGAATAAAGAAAAAATATACAAAAATGATACCTATATCTCTATTCCATATTGACCAAGTTATGAGGTTTGGGATTTAGGGTTTTAACTTTTAAGTTTCTTCTGTAATTTTTTTTTTCATTTCACATCCCTGGACAAGTCAATCTCACCTCTCTACTTCATCTCCTTAAACCTATAGATGATAATTTTCCTCATCCCCATTGGATATCCATCCTTTCCACTTGAATACCCTGCCCCACGGATCAAAGGTTCTAGATCTGCCACTGGTGTTTACAAGACCCAATAGTCTTGTACTTAGTTATTTTAGTAGTGATAGAACCGTATTAGACTCAGGCAATTTAGACTCAGACTCCATGTTGAAGTTGAGCTTGATCCCTGCTTTCATGGCCATATGGGAACTCGCATTTACATGCCCCCTCAAGCTCATTGTGGTGGAGTAAACGTTGAGCTTGGAATGAAGAGTATAGTGCAATGAGGGATGTAAGAGAATAGTGCCACTGTTACATTCTATTGTAAAATAATCTAGAAAAAAAATTCAAACATGGCGTTATTGTCTTTAATAAATTAACTTAGAGACAATAAATTCTTCTAAATAGTAGGCACATGAAGAATGTAATTCATGGTAAAAAGACGATTATATTGTAATTTGTAGTGGTATTATGATGGTGATGGTGTGGTGAAGCATTGACCATCATGGTCATTCATTTTGGGGGCCGGGGAGGCAATCTCCATCCCCCATCAGTTGTTAAGATCCCCATCCCCGTCCCTGCCCCATCAAGACAATCTCCATTCCCAACCTCATGGATCGATCAGGGGCCATTAGCCTCTCCATTGGTCCAAGAAGAACTATCTTCTTATATGTGGCGTTTCATTCATGGTATGATATCTATAATTTCCAACTCACATTTGCTACAACAGTGCTTCATAGCACTGCATTAAAACAACAAAATCAGAGCCTTTGATATATTGATATGCTCCACCTTGAATTAAATGAAATGGCATCCACATCTCTACTCTCCAATTCGGCCTTCACGTATGCTTCGGCCTCACATGAAATAGTTGACTTGCCGATTCATCATTGACTTGAACACTGCTTACTCGCTAGCTAGCATTTATTGAGCCACCAAATCCCTTATCTGATATATATATATATATATTTTTTTTTTTGTCTGATATTTTGATCATTCATGTGGCGTCCCGACTCACTATGTTTATCTATTTATCTGATTGCTGGCCACATGAAATTTCATGAAACCTAAAGCAGAGATATTTACTCAAATGTTGCAAAATTTTATCCTAAGTTTTTCAAAGATGTTGATAAAATATAAGTTATACACAATCGTCAGTTTAGAATTCATTTTGTCAACTTCTGACTTGTTTAAAATTATTCGATTCAATGACGGTCAGACTTAGGTATGTAGATTTATATGGTTAAATAAATCAATCGATCAGTAGTACCGGCATTACTTTAAAACTGAAAGCTCGACTCTACTCGGAAAGTCCATCAGGTTGAATCGCCGTAACGAATTAACTAGTTAGAACTTAGAACTAATTAATGAGTCAATAGATTGATAATAAAAATTGAAACGTAAATTAAGAAAATAAGAGAAATAGTTTGACATTTTGTGCCTATATTAAGGCTATCTTGGGATTATAGTAATTGCTTTAAGAATGGGATTTTCTGCAAGTAAAACTCTGAATATACTATGAAAGCATGAAAATCCCATCATACATTAGAAATATCTTCGCATGAATTAAACATAAAAATGTACGAAAGGTACTATTAATGTGCCACTGGATGCTATTTAGGAAGAATTTTTTCTTGGAGGAAATCTGGGCTCTTGTTAATGCTCAATGGGTCGCCAGTAGGCCCAATATCCCCTCAGACTGTGAAAACCATCATTTAATCAGGACATAGAAATGACAATGAATCATCGATTCGACTGTCTTAAAAATCAGAAAGAACAAATGTTGGTGGGAAAATTCTCAAGGCATTGTATGAAATTCCTTAAATCTTTTTCATTTTCCACTTCTTTTATAAGTCCAAACACAGCTTAAGGGCCTATAATACATTCTTAGAATACAAGACATGCATTCATAGAACAATATGAAGAAAATGCAACATAGAGCCATTGGTTCTTGGCCGGCCCTTTTCCTGATTAGTTTTAACCATTAAAAGTTGGCACTGAACAACTAACTTCATGATAGGGATAGAGATGAAAAACAAAAAAGAAGGGACAGATTCCTGACACAACGCTTGTTATTGTCTCAACCATATAAATCTAAATCTGATGATCAATGTTTTTCCTTTTCCTTAGTTTTTGTTTAATTATTTGGTATTACATGTTGCACATACAGGGAATTAGGGCTTGGGACAGGATAGGGTGCACATGGGGTCTACTGATCTTACCACAAATACAGCTTGTAGCATGCGGGTTTGATCCCACACCTCCACATTAGGTGGGATGCCAAGTAACCAAAAAACACTTATGTTGCGCGCGCACTACGTGTTGATTGGTGTCTAAGGAAAACTCAACTTAACATTCCATTAATTGAGACTCAAAAAAAGTTGATTAAAACTTAGAAATAAATTATTACTTAGAAGTCGCGATTAGTAGAGGTAATTATCACTAACCTTTTTTGAAAGTGAAGGCAACTATTATTTGAAATTCATTTTCTTTTGAGAGTGGATAGGCATAGGTTTGAAATGAATACTTCTATTTTTTTTTTCTTTTTTCAAAAGAAAAAAATCTATTAAATGAAAGAAAAGCCATGTACAAGGAGATCATGAAGAAGATAAAATATTTCATTGAACTCGATACTTGATACAATACGGATAGTACTTAAACGAACAATAAGAGTGAATATTTCATTGAAGTCGATACTTGAACAAACTCCCAAGTTTTGTTTCTATTCAGATTTTTCATTTCCTCTTCTATGGCCATTTGTCAATAACGAGCATTTAGACTTTCACAAGCTTTCTGATATGAACAAGGCCCATGTTCTTTTGTAATGTAAGCATAAATTGTTATACAATCTTGGAGCCAGAGGAGAGGTTTTGTAGCTTTCCTTGATCGACCTTGATTCTCATGAGTCTTACTCTCAAAAGTTTCATGCTCTTCATCAATTTTATCAACACTTGTATCCGGCATTAATCTTAATGAATCTTACTCTCAACCTCCCCTACTGTATCTAACCTTAATCTTCATGAGTCTTACTCTCAACCTTCTCTATTGTATCTGACCTTGATGGAGCCATAGTGGATATAGGAATAGCCAAGACATCTCTAGAAATCAATTGCAAAGTAAGATACCTAATCCTTGTTATCTTCCACTACTCTGACATGTCAAAATCAACCATTTTAGGTATAATAGGTTCTTCCAAATAATCATCTAACTTGGACTTGACATATGCAACATTACTCTTCGAAGCCACATACAAGTCATAATCATACATGTGATCCAACTCATCAAGATTAGCAATACTTGACTAAGAAGTTGCAGCCATTGATGATTGAACTCATAGGTACCACCACTAGACCTTGATTGGAACTAACTAAGTCAACACAAATTTCTTGGACCTTTCTAATCTCATCCTAATATGTACCTTGTCCATAGATAAGTTTATAGTAATACTCCAACAATGTCAACTTGTATCTAGGATCTAAGAGAGTATCTACAACCATAATACCATGAATCTCACACCAATACTTGTGAAACTTGGTTATCATTTTTGATGCCATTGATTCTATGACATCATGGCCGCAACTAAGCCATCGCCTTCAATGCTAACCTAATCTTACAAATCTTTAGAAAATAAAGATTAGCTATAGGCTACTTGGTCCTAGAGAACAACTCAGTCACATTATAAAGCAATTTCAACCTCCCACGAATTTCTTTTATCATTTCCAAATCCCTCTCATGTGGCACACATTTTTATAATGGCTCCTATTGATGCTCGGCTTGGCCAAGGACAACAAATTAATTTCACTCCCAAGCCTCAAGTGAAGGCCAAAGACTTTGAGGGTCCTGGGGAGTTAAGTCGAGGTTGAGGCGTATCACTCCTTGGGATATTGTAGAAGCCGAGGGCTTGTACCGAGAAGAGTATCCAAGGGAGGACGAGGTGTGGTTCCCACAGTTATGAACCTACAAGCGAGAAGGTGTCAAAGGCCTCGGGTGGTTACCCGAGGCGAGGACTCTAACGATCAAGTTCGTATGTGCACTTGGTAAGTGATGAGTTTGGAGCCGAGGTGTTTAGATGAGGTCTCAGATAGCGCTAAGTCCTTAGTGGAGAGAGCACTAGAGATCACAAAGATTTTGAGTTGAATCACTTACCTTGTGGGGGGTGCCTTGCATTTATAGCCGGAGTTTCCAGGGGGTAGTTGGGCTCGGATGGTCTAGATGCGAGCCGTACGAGGGCCTGGTGAGATGTTCTGCCAATGCCATGCGGCGCCTGCGATTGGGTCTGCCTGGTCTGTGTCAGGTAACCTAGAGCATCATCATGGTAAGCCTATGCAGGCGTCCTCCATTCGATACGCATCAGCCTTGTATAGGCCAGCCAAATGTGTCTACATCACTTGTCCCCAATTCTAGAGGCCGAGGTGGGGGTTTCAGAAGTGGCCTCAGCTTGCCGAAGGGAGTGTCGATATTGGTAGGTGCCATCGGGCTTGTCTAGCGGAGTGTACCCTACAGTGGCATCTCCTTTGTCTCGCTTCTGCTTTAGTCTGATTACCGTTCGTGGAAGAGAAGTAAGGCTATGGATGCCTTGGCTTCGGCTAAGGGGACCGAGGTGGAGGGGGCCCGGTTGAGCTGAGCCTATGCCTTATACTCACATGGTGACGGTCTGGGGCCGTACACGGTACGAGATTCAATGGCTAGCGCGCCAAGATTGTGCCTGATAACGGTCTAGCATGAGGAGAAACTTTCATAGGGGAGACGGGCACTCTGGGTGAGCCAGTCCACGCGTTCATCGGGTTTGTGCATTCAAATCGGTGGGTTACGGTGAGCGGGCCTGTTGGTTCGCTCGATGTCATTTCACCTTCTCGAGGCTGAGTGCCAGTTCACTAGGCGTCGTTCCGCTTCCCCGAGGCTAGGTACGCGCGGGTTTACTAGGCATCATTTCGTTTCCCTAAGGCTAGGCACACACGGGTTTAATAGGCATCGTTTCATTTCCCCATGGCTAGGTGCCGAGTGTCACACCACGGGTGGTCAATGAAAGCGAGGACCTCACAACCGTTGGATCTAGCGGGATTTGAGCCATTCATTTTTCTATAAACAGGGGCCTTAGTGGTGATTTTCTTTGTCATTTGTCTCTAGGCGCCCTTGCTATCAAGTGAACTTTGCTCTCAGACCTTCAATCCTTCGATACACCTTGTCTCCACTTTCTTCACCTTTGTCTCTTAGGTAACTATTAAACCATGTCTTTCTCGGACTCTGGCCTTGAGTGCTATGAACTTCCGAATGGTTCAGAAGGAAGCTCTCTTTGGACACCTTCCCTCCTTTCCCCTCTAGGTTCTTTAGCCATTGTCCCCCTTCAGCAAGAGGTGAGGGTGCCAAGGAAGAGGGTAGCCTCTGAAGGTGCCGAAGGCAGCCACCGAGGCGGTGACCTTCCCTGTGAGAGCGTGGCATTTGTGATGCCGAGGAAGGCAGAGGGGTCCCCCCAAGTCGAAAGGGAATAAATTCTATTGCCCGTCCTGGGAGTAATGGCTGAAAGCGCTGCCCGAATGGTGGCGAACGCTGATGTTCCATGTTCGGAGTTCGAGAGCACTCTGGAAGTGGATCAAGTGAAGGCCCTAGCTAGGATGTTTTATATACCTTGGTCATACCAGCTTAGGGTTCTTGACCTCGGTGATTGGCCGTGGACCCCTGAGGGGGGGGGGGGGATTTGTGTATACTAACAGTTTTTAGAATTTGGCCTTAAGTTCCTTCTCCACCCTTTGATTTTCGAGTTGCTGGAGTGGTACGACATCACTATTAGCTAGCTCGTCCCCAACTCCATTAGGACTCTTGTAGCCATGCTAGTGTGGGCTCGACTTCGGGATGTGGAGTTGACCCCGAAGATGATCCGCACCATGTTTATGCCTAGGAAGCACTATTCTGAGGCCAACATGTACTACTTACAACCGCAGAGGGGGAGGCCAGTCGATAACCCCTCATTTGTCTACAACTGAAAGAGCAAATTTTTCTTCATCTCTAGCCCCAATGGTTGGTCATTCAGGTCAAAGTGGGGAATGGCCTGTACGATGGTGAAGTGTCCCCCTCCGCTCTGGGATGAGGAGGTTACTGCTGTGGCGCACCTGATCATGTTAGGGACGGCCAAGGCCAACCCTTGGTGGAGGAGGAGTTCCCCTTAGTATTTGCGGGGCTCAACCTTGCCCCCTTCGGTAGGAGAGTTTCCTTAGCCTTTTTACACATTCCCCTCATCCTCGTTTGGTGTACTAATTCATGCTCTTTTCCTTTATAGAGGTACCAATGGATGCGAAGAAGCTCTTGCTCGAAAGCGCCCGTGCCAAGCAGAGGGCCCAGGCTGAGAAGAAAGCGGGAGGGTAGACGTCGAGGAGGCCTACCGAGAATAAGCCTGTGAAGGGAAAGCGGGCAATATTCCCCACAAGGGGGTTACTCAACAGCAAGTCCCTGCCAAGGGGGCAACTCAGCAAATCCTACCAAAGGGAAAGGGCCGACTGAAGCGCCGAAGAGGCCCACCGAGGGGGCCAAGGCAGGCAGGAAGAGGCCTGTCGAAAGAGTTTTAAGAGAGCAGCCACCGAAGAAGGTGGCCCATGCCAAGTGTCCGACTGGGGATGCTGCGAAGAAGCCTCCCCCTAAGGGGCATCCCACGGGGCCCTCATCCACCCCCTCGTCTGAACCGGAGCTCACCGAAGGAGCCGAGGGGTCTGCCAAGATCTTCTGCCCCCAGTGGTCGGTTCATGAGGGGGATTCAATAACCGAGGAAGGGGTCCGCTAGGCCCTGGTGAGCGGGGCGATCCTCTCAAGGGATCATTTCCACATGATGCAGAGTGAGTTGAGAGCCGTCTACAACAAGGGGTTGTACCACTTGGCCGATGTAAATTTCGCTCTCATGCTTTGTCTCGCAGTTATTTCTTTATTGTAGTCTTTAATGAAATTTTTTGTTGCAGGTCTCTCTTCACTTCGTCGGTCTGGGAGACCGAATGAGTCTGACCCTGTCATGCCAAGAGAAGCTCGATAAGGATAAGGAAAGGCTCTAGGCCACTGTCACTGTTGCCGAGGACAAGCGGGAGACCTTTAGGAAGGCTCACAAGGATGAGCAGATGTTCCGAACAAAGATGGAGGCCGAACTGAAGGAAATGTGGGCCCTCCTCGTCCAAGAGCTAGAGGAGAGTGTTCACTTCGAGAGCATCGTCATGGAGGCGAAGCAACGGGCAACCCAGGATGAGGGGTGGGCTACCGAGGCCAAGAAGAAGGCAACCGAGGCGAAGAAGCAGGCGACTGAGGCAGTAGAGGCTTTCAAGAAGTCCGCCGAGTACTAGCGGGCCCTTGCGGAGTATGCGTCCACATCCTACTTTGATGCAATTTTGGACACCAAGAAGGCCCTTTTGCAAGTGATGCTTGACTTCAACGCCGAGGGGCTGTAGGTGATTCCCAACTCCCCTAATGAGACTCAGGCTGCTGACTCAGGCGGCTGACCGCTCTACCCTTCCTTCGATTGGCAGCGAGGCTTGACGTAGTTCCTCCAGTCTTTTGTTTCTTCACTTTTTCTTTTGTGATGTAAATGTGCTTGGCCTCCGAGGCCATAGAAAAAAAAAATTGTAATCGCTTATACTGTAATGAAATGAAGTACACAATCATTTTGTGTACAATGTGTTCTCTCTTTTTGTTAATTACTATTTGTTATTTTGTTGTTTTTTTTTACCGAGAGGCCTCTACCCCTCCCAACAAGGAGATCATGGTTCAATAAATGCCTCGTAATGGCTTGCTTTAGGTACACGGTCGCTTTAGATTGTCAAGGGGATGAAGCCGAGGTAGAGGTATGCAAGCAAGGTGCAACTTACCTGTCTCATTTTTTACCCAAGTGTTTACTTAGGCTAGGCTAAGGCGGTCTGCCGAAGTATGGGAGGGAAGCTGAGGCCGAGATGTAGCTCGCTTGGATAGTCTCTTTCCCAAATGGTTACTTTGGC